CATCCTATACATTTTATTTATGTGTTTCTTTACATCTATCTCCACCATTAGGATTAAGTTCCATCAGGCAGGGATATTTTGTTCACTGGTGTCTACTCAGTACTTGAGAATATGCTGGCACAAAGTAGGCATTCAATAAATATTTTCGAATGAATTAAACAAATTTAATAACAAAATTCCTCTAAGTTCCCCATTTTACAAATAAGAAATAAAAGTAATTTGCAAAAAAAACATACATTTAACTAAGTGAATGATCCAAGACTTAAAACTAGATCTGAGTGGCTCTAAAACTATCTTTTTAACCTAATGCCATCTGTAGAGTCACTGACTATATAAGAGGTCTCTCAGGCTGCTGCTTGTGCAAAATAATTTTTGCTATATTGATAGTAAGTATTTTGCTTTGACTTGCATCTGTATGCTCTCTAGTGAAAATAAAAATGTTCTCAGGTCTTCTTTAGCCATCTTAAGAAGAATTTCTTTCACGAATTAGCTAATAACATCCTTTGCCTTTTTATCAAAGTTTTAAACATTTTCCTTAGAGATTTATATGAGTTCTTTATATACTAGTATTATCCTTTTCTCATTTTGGTTGTAAACATTTTCTTCAGTTTTCTAAAAACTGTATTGTCATTACAGCAACTCCAAAATGGAATGAGATACCTTATAAAGTTCAAATAAAAGTCAAGTGACCATAGAAAATATAATGAATGGAATTCACGGATTCAATACATATATGAGTGCACCTATGTGCCAAGCACTGTGTTAGCTGCTGGTGATACAGAAATGAGCAAAAAAGCAGTCCCTGCTCTCACTGATTGGACAAAGTACAAATGCACAACGTGCAGGTGATCGTCTATGAATGAGAAAGAAGTGCCACTAGAACATGTCAAGAGTCAAGAAAGAACTCTGTGAGGAGGACGGACACCAGGAATGGAGGAAAGGGCAAGGGGGACACAAAAGCCAGGTAAGGAGAAGAGAGAGTCAGTGCCACAAAGACCATGCAGAGCCCTACAGGCCATGTAAGGACTTTAGAAAGAGAAACAAAAAGTGAGAGAGAGAGAGACAGGGAGGGAGGCAGGGTGTGTCAGTGTGTTCAGGATTGTATGAGTGTGTTGGTGTGTATAACAATCAGCTGAAAGAGAAAAGTTTCATTAAACAGTTCCTAAATTCCTCCCAACCAACAATTCAATTCTTTTATGCCTGTTTAAGCACTTTCCTAGTTCTAGCAAAATACAGTTGGAAGCAAAATTGTCAAACTACATGCTGACAGACAGATATACCAACAAACTGCTTTACATCTGCATTATTAATTCATTTCTCTTTTTTAAAGTTTACCCTTCAATAGGAAAGGTAGCTATGGAGCATGAAAGTTTCTACCAGAACCCCTATTCTTATCATGACATAACACATGTGAAGTGAACAGTGTCCGGTTAAAGTGCACTTTGGCTCACTTTCCTACATCTCCTCTCACCCAACTTGCAGCCAAACCAGGCAAAAGTCCAACAACTTCCTCTTCAAAAGCAGACGATGAAAGCATTCAGTGTCTTGAGGACAGAATACTGACAATGGGAAGGAAAAAACATCCTAGTCATAGAGACAGTTTGACAGAAGTCAAGTTGGGGACAAACTCTTGGAGCCCTGACCACCTTATATGGGCCCCCTCTGCACTCTTATTTTTATAAAGGCCATGACAACACTTAGTAATCCTTTATCCTCCTTCCTCAGACTCTCTGATCCAAGGAGCAATTTGTTACCTTTCCATTAAAGCAAGAATTGTAAAACGAAATTATTAAATGAAATGCTTCACAGTCCCACTCTGTTGGCAACCCTGTAAGTTTTCTCTGGCTTTGACTCTCATACATCGACCCAAGTCTGAGTGGTACCTTAGCCCCTTGCCTAAAAAGGAGGAAAGTATAACTCCTTTACCTAAGGCTTGCATTGCTTCCATCTTCTTCCTTCATCCTTCTACTAGCACCAGTGTCGTTAAAGAACAGCTGTGTAGCTCTCTTAAAAGGGATGTAAATCCCATCAGTGCAACTCAGATAGAGTCACAATGAAGACAACTCTCCAAAAGTCAATGTCACCTGTATTTATGGGGGGTGGGAGTGAGGGGACTGTCAAATCAAGGCTAGATAGATTCACATGCAGACAACTTATGAGACTTGAGAGAAAGGGCTGATGCACATTTGATGATCAAAAGTCAGAGCTTATAAATGTTCTGATTTGGCATGGAAGATATCAAAAGAGCATTGTGAGACACATCAGAGAAAAATGAAAATAAGAAACATACACTTTCATTCATGCTAACATGGCACTTTTGCAGGTGCTAAAATATTCTAATTAAAATAGTACGTATAGAAGGTATCTGGAGATTTGAGATTGAACTTAAAAAAGAGTGTGTGCTACGTGACCCAGGTTAACCTGAACAGCTGGCTGGAAGAAAAACAAACATAATAGGAACACTGGGGCACGTATATTTATAGAAACAGTAAAAAATGTTTGGTGAAAAAAAGACACTGGTTTGAAAATGAACTCAAAAGAATTAAAGTCCGGCGTATTTTTTTAAACATGGGGTCAGAGTATAAAACATCAGCAAAGATCTCACTGGACAGACAAGTTCCTTTTTCTTGTTAGACACACACTGCTTCCCCTCAGACAGACACCAGGTTTATTTCTAGCACTCCCACATGTGGCTGCCTCCTTTTGCCTGAGGTCACAATGAACTTCATTTGATGCTAAATGTGCTTTACATTTAAATTGAATGGGTAAAATTAAAAACTAAGAGAAGACAACTTGGTTGGGGTTTTCAATTAGACTGACAGAACTAGGGACAAAGTCTTTAGCTCAGCCTTCCATAATTAACACGACTCATCATATGGCCAGAATCTGCTCTTAGCAAAGGAGCCCATGGTGTAGCTTATGTGTTGACCTTGGAAAGAACCAATCATCTATGAGCCTAAGCTTGAAAAGCTTCCCCCATTTTTTTGTGGACAAATGAAGTAAATTTTCATTGGGGTTTACTATGTAAGAAGGGTCAATAAACTTTTGCTGAAATGAACCAAATAGTAAATATTTTAGGCGATGTAGACTATTAGGTCACTAACTCAATTCCGCAGTTAGAGCATAAAAGCGCCATTAAAACCCTCCAAAAAGGCAAGCCAGTCCCCTCTGGGTTGATGTTCCTCAGGCAGAGTTTCTCACAATCACCATTCCCTCTTATCTACAGTATTTCTTAGGAGTAAGTAACTGACCAAAAAAATGGCTACCTATTCAAAACTATTAATTCTATTTTTACACAGCTATATTAGAAATTCCTGCTAACTGAAAAGTGAAACTCTTTGGTCATTTATGGTATTCAGAGGTTCTTTTCAGATGAAATACAGTCTCATGAAAGGAACAATACCTATAGCAAACTGTGATTTCTACCTCAACAGTACTGGGAAAGTTAACCCTGGAAGGATCTAAGACTAGAAAACTCCTGCTTTAAAGGAGGAAAAAAAAATATCAATGGACAATTACATATTTGGGGCACCAGGCTACTTTGATAAACAAAGGGTAACAGATTCTGTCTTTCCACAATTGTTTTCTCATTTAGACTGGTAAAACAACAGAAAGCCTGATGTGAAGTTTAAAGTTTGACAGATCCCAATGTGAATCTAGCTCCACTACTTATCATTTTTGTAACCTCTGACAAATTGTTTAAAATCCCTTAAGTTTTAATTTTCTCATCTACTAAAAAGGAATAACACAACCTCATAGAGTTGTAAAGATTGCATATTACATATGTGAAGAACACAATGCAATGTCTGGTACAGTCAATAAATAGCAACTGTTTCTAAGTTTTTAATAAATCAAACTTAAAAGTAATCAAGAAATACTTATAATCTTGCAGGGATATAAAGTCAATCACAAGCATAACTATTTCTAGCAACCTTGTGGACAAAGTTACTGTCAATAGTAAAATACATGAAAATAACAAATAAAGCCAAAAAGATTTTTTAAATAGTTACAGTTAATAAAGAAAGAAAAGGAGGTTTCTATACCCCAGAAAAATATAGATTATCCATAGTAGTAGCTCAGGAAGTTACTGACTTGGTTGACATTTTAATGCCCATGAGAAAAGAGACATGGTCTTGAGCCCAGGAGAGACAGGATCTGGACCTGAGATCCTGCAGAAAGCTGGGGCTCTAAAAGGATGTCAAACGTATGAAGGGAACTAGAGAAGGTCTGCTCACTGAGGAGAGGTTGTGCCATCAAAGTCTGCCATCTACCGGGTTGGGTGAGCTATTTTAAAAAAGAGTTTCATGCAAGTGTAAAAATTCAAGCCTTCCCACATTCTTATGAAATTCAAATATAATATAAATACCTAGGAAGTATGAGAGTGAAGGCAAAGAGTTAACATAAAAACTGGTTGATCATGAGTAAAGACCTTGGGTAATAACACAAACTAAACATAAATTCATTTTGGGAGGGGGGCAACTTTCACATCTTAATGAATTTAAAACCAAATATTATTAACTACACAAGGAAATGAACAAGATTAAGCTGATAAATGAAAAGGTGGCACCCTAAGAGAGAAAACAGAACAATAAGAAAGAGATACTAAAATAATGAAGATATGAAAAGGAACAGAAAACATAAGGAAAGAAAAGTATAGTATTAAAAAGAGACCAGGTATACAAAAACAAAATCAAATACAACTCCTACATAAAAGCAGTCATTGAAATGAACACACTATGTTGAAACACAAGAGATTACACAATACTGAAGACATAATTCATGAAATGGGAGACAGAATAAAAGAAACTACAAAGAATGTCACATAAAAATAAAAGAGGAGGGAAAGAGGAAAGAGACTAACAGACATGCAGGACAGAATAGGGAAGACCATTACACAAAAGGTGCAGAAGACTATGAGAGTGGGAGAACTGCATTGCTGAAGAAAACGAATACATTTTGTAGAAAATAAAAGATGTGATTTTCTTTCTTTTTTAATTTGCGTGTGTCAGGGCCTGGGTTTCACCTTCCCACACCGAGGAGTGAGTGGTGAGCTAAGGCCCCTGGAGGCACTGGGTATCAAATCTCACCCACGGCCAAGTCCAAAGCTGCAGATGATTTTCAACTAACGCCACTCTCCCAATCATACTCACAGTGATGCAACGAGCAAGGAGCACGGAGCATCTGATGGGCGGACCTCCCTGCAACCTGAGAAGATGTGGTCTTCTTTGATTGAAAAGATACAGTGAGAATGGGGAAGTAAAAATAAATAAAAAGAAATCCATAACAGACAAATAGTAAAACTGCAGAAACCAAAGGAAAGAGAAATTTTTTCCTGCAATGACGTTAAAAAAAAGGGTGGGGGGGACACCTTATTTAGACTGACAGCAGACTTTAAAAATAAGAACAAAGGTGTGCTCTACACTGAAATTTGACACAACATTGTAAAATGATTATAAATCAATAAAAAATGTTAAAAAAAAGAACAAAGGTCAGATTACCATGGAATAACAACATCTTCAAGGTTACTAAGGAAAGCAGCTGTCAGTTTAGACTGTAAAATTCTACAACCAGGTGATGTCAGCAAAAATAGAGAGTTAAATAAGGACCTCTGAAAATCCACTCTTCCATTAAAAACAACAAAAACACTGGCAAAAAATTGGTAGAATCAAGCATTTTAGTAAAAAGGGTTTATTGAAGAAAACAGCTAAATCTCACTTTTATTTTACCATGACCTCCTCCAATCTCCCTCACTTTCCAGTTCTGCAGTAGACTTGGCAACCAATGGCCTGCAATCACTCTGAGTACAGCAATCTGGTAGTCACCAGAGGGGGCTTTAAAAATGGGACTGGAGTTCCTCCAAAGCCTCTTTTCTACAGAACTATCATTCTTTGAATTCTTGTAGTTTCCAGGAAGATCCCACTCACAATTCTGTGTTACTCTGTCCTGATTCAGACCTCACTTAGTGTGAATTGCTTTTTAGCTGAGGATGTTTCTCAAAAATAATCTGAATCAACTGTTTAACACTGAAGTTGTCTAAGGCATAAATAATAGCTGCAGTGAACAGTAAGTTAACCAAAAAACTTAAAGGAAAAACTGGAATGAAATGTTCACAGGGAACAATGAAAGACTACCACATATCCAAAGGAATCTAGAAGGCCATATACTACAGGGCTACAGTAATCAGGACAGCATGGTACTGGCAGAAAAACAGACTTGTAAGATCAATGGACCCGACTACAGTGCCCAGAAATAAACCCATACACTGGTCAATTAGTCTACAACAAAGCAGGCAAGAATATACAATAGAGAAAAGACAGTCTCTTCAATAAGTAGTGCCGGGAAAACGGGACAGCTACATATTAAAGGATGAAATTATGACATTTCCTCACATCATATATGAAAATAAACTCAAAATGGATTAAAGATCTAAATTTAAGACCTGAAACCATAGAACTCCTACAAGAGAAAATCAGCAGACATTTTCCAATTTCAAAACTTACTACAAGGTAATTAAGATTGTGCATAAAGACAGACATGTATGTACGTCAATTAAATAGAATTTAGAGTCCAGAAAAAACCCCCTCAAGTTTACAGTCAACTAATGTTTGACACAAGTGCCAAGATAATTCAATGAAGAAAGAAGCCTTTTCAACAATGGTGCTCAGACAACTGGATATCCAGTCCAAAGAATGAAACTGGACACCTAATACATATCATACAAAAATATTAACTAAAAAAAATCACTGTGCTATACACCTGAAACTAACATAATACTATAAATAAACTATACTTCAACTTAAAAAACTTAAATAAATAAATAACATATTAACTAAAAATGGGTTGATGACCTCCACAATAAGGGCTAAACTAAAACTCTCAGAAGAAAACACAGATCTTTTCTTCATGACATTGGATTAGGCAATGGTTTCTTAGACCTGACACAAAAAACACAAGCAACCAAAGGAAAAATAGATCAACTGGACTTCATCAAAGTAAAAAAAAAAAACTTGCGCATCAAAGGACACTATCAAGAAAGTGGACAACCCACAGAATGGGAGAAAATATTTGCTAATAATATATTTAATAAGAGTCTAGTATCCAAAATATATAAAAACTCACAACTCAAAAGGCAGTCCAATTCAAAAATGAGCAAAGGAGTTGAATAGATATTCTCCAAAGAAGATATACAAATAACTAACAAGCACATGAAAAGCTAGTCAACATTATTAGTTATTAGGAAAATGCAAATTAAAATCACGAGAAAATTAACAAAAGTGTTAAGCAGAAATTGACAAATGCCAATTATAATGGGAGGGTTCAATATACTTCTGAAGTGACAAATACATAAAACTTTAATGAGAATACAGATCTGGGCACAGTTAACAAATTTGATGTAACAGACCAGTTTATAACCTTTACAGCTAATAATTAACTATAGCATCTGGAATCTTTTCAATCACAAATAGGATATTTAGGAAAAAACTGGACATATTCTAGTAAGGCACAATGAATCTTAAGAAATATGACACTGATCTTGTACAGACCACATAATCTGACAATAATACAATAAAATTAAACATCACAGAGACAACAACAAAGGGTCTAATGCATTTTTAAGTCAAAATAATTTAACCTAGTTTGGGAGTTGAAGAAATAAAAACCGAAATTAATGAAACATTTAGAATTGAATTCTATATAGTGTGATGTATTATGAAAGTACATAAATAAGTACATTTTAAAACTTATGGGATGCAGCTAAGGCAGTAGCTAGAAGAAATTAATGGTTTTAATTTGTATATATGAAAAAAATGGAAATTAATGTTCTAAGTGTTTGTCTCAAAAAATCAGAACAGAATAAAAGAAGGAAACAAAGAGATAATAAATGACAAAATAAGAAACAAAAAGCTAAACAATATTAGAAGCCCATTCTTTTAAAATACTAAGAAGCAAACCTCTAAAGACTAGTAAGGAAAAGACTAACAAAAAAGACATAAGGAAAAAATACTGCATATAAAATAATTTCACAAATGCAAAAGAAGAAAAAAATTAAACATAGAGGTTTTAAAATTACCAGAGGCGGTTTTTAAAAATGTATGGTAATAAATTTGAAAACACTGATAAACTGGACAATTCTTAGTCTCAAAAATGACTCAAGAAAAAAAACTCAAGAGGGAAAACAATCTGAAGAGTCCAATAATCATTAAGGAAAATCAGTAGTCAAAAAAACATAGACTCCAAAAAATCAGCATTAGGACAAACTTTTGCAGAGGCAGATGAGAATAAAGCATGTCAAGTTTAAAATTTGCAAAATAAAATATAATACCTTTAAAATAATTGTACAGGGAAGGATTTTTTAAAAACAATGTAAAAAGAAACCATAAACCTTAAAGGAACCTAGATAATTTATAGCACAGAGAAAACACAATACATATAAATACTGAAAAAATACTCAACCAAAGAAATGCAAATTAAAATTCAATGAGACGTTATGCTATATTTATTAGATTTGCAAAAAATTTAACAAGTCTGATTGGCAAGGAGATACTTTTGAGTGGAAACATAACACTGGTACAACTATTTTGGAAGCCAGTTGAGCAACTGTGGTAAGGTTGAAAATATGCATGCCTATGACCCAGCAATCCCACTTCTGACTATAAAAGGAACTCTTCCAAATGTGAATAAAGAGATATTCATAAGTGTGCAGACTCAAGGGGTTAGGTTTTTCTTTTTAGTTTTTTGGGGGAAAAAATGAACACAAATAGCTACTAATAGGGGAATGAATAAATTTTTATATTTATTCAAAGCATTAATAGAGAAGTGAAAATAACAAATTAGAACTTCAAATATTAATGTTGATAAATCTCAAAAAAATGTAATAAGTAAACTGCAAAAAGTTACATGTAATATGACAGTATCTATTTACAGTTCAAAACATAAAATGGATATATAACATACAGTTTAAGCACAAAAAATATATATTACAGCTTTAGAATGGTGGCAAATTCTGAGATGTAAGAAAGAAGAAGATAAAAATGCATTAATATTATCTGCATATTTAATTCCTTTTTTTAAAAGTAAATATGAAAGCATGTTAACATCTGTCTTTTAACTGCTAAATACATATTTACCAAATCTTCTATATTTCATGTTTGAAACATTCCACAATTACAAAAATAAAACATAAAGAATCAGGTAAAAGATGAAGTGAATCATCAATACCTACCATAAAAAAATTTTTTTAACTGTATGGACCTGTTTTATATCATGAAACATGCTTAATGTTTTTTTTTTTCCTCCTTGATTAAAAAGGAGTACATGCCCACTGCAGAAAACTAGAGAAACAGGTATACAAAGTGGTGGGGAAGGGAATGAAAACCACCTTTAATCCTGACACCCAAAAGTAATGCCTATTACCATTGTAGGTTCTGTCAACATTTTAGTGGGTCATTTTTCAGTGAATTTTTAACATGATCAAAATAATTCTGTAAAAATACCTTCTTGCATCTCACTTATTTCATTTGCTATTTGAAGATAAGTACTTTTCTCCAAATTGTTACCAATTCCCTATAAATAATATTTTTAAATATCTGAGATATTTAGTCATATGGAAAAGCTAATTTTTTAAACCACTATTTTACTATTGTGATATAAAATAAACTAATAACATAAACCTCTCTGTATCAAGTTTATTATTAATTTACAATGGTATATGACAATGTTTGTGCTTCTGTTATGTCAACAGTGTCCTAGACTAAATTTCATTTAATGAAATCTTTGCAAGTAAATCCATGGTTCTAATTGTTCCTGTGATTCGTACTTCTACACTGGAACTGATGGTGCTCACATAATTATTAGTTTGTTTATGCTATATGTTGTATGAATAGCTTTTGCACATCTCTTCCCCATGTATTTATTTCTATGAGCTCTTTAAATATTTAGAATTATCATCCCCCTGTCCTGTTCATTATGAATATAATGCCCAGTGTGAGGTCTGACTTTTAATTTGGTTGGCTGACAATCAAATCTTGTATTGGTATATAGTTAAACATCCCAACATTTTGTTTGCAATTATCTTCATCTGCTCTTTACCTTAAAAGATTTGATAATAATTAACTTTTAAAATCCAT